GCGGCGGAGTTTGAGGGAAGGTGAGCGAGGCTGCCCCCGGGCAGGGGGAGCGCTGGGGGAGCGGCACCTGGGCATGGCCGGGGCGGGGGGCGAGGAGGGGGCTCACAAAGCTGGAGTTGATTAGACACCCAGCTCTGTCTGCCCCATTATGGGCGAGCCGAGCTTTGCCTCAGTCCCAACCCGCTTCTCTCCCCCCGTCCCCTCCTCCTGGTGCCCAAGCTCCCGTTCAAAGGGCGAGAGAAAGAACTGGGCAAAACTCAGGAGAGTGCGGTGTCAGCTTTTAGCAAATGGCTGCACCGCCGCAATTCCGTGTCCTCGTTTGAAACGGAGTCCTGCCTCACGTTGGTTTTTCCCAACGAGAAATCCTCGGGTAGCCAGGAGCGAAGCGCAAACTGGTTTTACACGTGCCCTGGAGGGATGGGACGTAGCATCTTATTGTTTCGTTCCTCCCCGAGAGAACTGTGTGGGCAACCTAGATTTAACCATCTCTCCCCCGGGGGATCGCTTCCTTTTGTTCTCCGAGGTGGGTGTGTTAACAGTGTTCTGAAAAGCTGCACGTATAATATTGGTTTTGTCTTAGGTGAACATATCGTAGCTGTAAAGAGATGTGAGAGATGCCTGCGATGGCAGGTTTGAACAGCCCCAGAGGTCTTTTAACTTTATTGCTCAGCTGATATTCCTACAGGCTGAAAATTCCAGTCTGTGGAGTCTCCATGTACAACTTATCACAACAAGTCCTGGATGATTTGATCCTAGAGGAAGGGATGACTGATGCAAAGCGTTCTCAATCCTCTTTTGGAGATTGCAGTTCAAAGGAGGGTCAGAATCAACTGAAGTCTTGAGCTTTTAGCCTCCAGTGGGGAACCCTTTACATTCTCTCTTCCCCATGCCACGCGAAACCCTCCCCCCACCCGCCCCCCCCCCCCAAAAAAAAGCCCCCCACCTGGCTGTCATAAAGTTTGCTGTGGTCTTCATGTGAATGGACCAGGAAGATTGAACTGGTTTCTTGCTTCTCAAGATTTGTGGATAGAGGTGAACTAGCTGAAGCTGGTGTCTTGCAGTGCAGTCTCTTGCATATCACTGGGCATAAAGCAATTTAAAGAGACACGAGACCTGGTACGCTGCCCATCATGGCATCTACATTTATCTGTCATAAAGTTTGCTGTGGTCTTCATGTGAATGGACCAGGAAGATTGAACTGGTTTCTTGCTTCTCAAGATTTGTGGATAGAGGTGAACTAGCTGAAGCTGGTGTCTTGCAGTGCAGTCTCTTGCATATCACTGGGCATAAAGCAATTTAAAGAGACACGAGACCTGGTACGCTGCCCATCATGGCATCTACATTTATACAAATGTTATACATATGTACAAAAATATATATAAATATGTATGTGCCTATAATTTGTTTTGTTCTGTATATGGCTTTTGTTACATCAGCAAGAGCTTATAAACATATACCATAAGATTTAAAAAAAAATGCTTCATAGAACACATAAACCAAAAACAGGGCAAATGGGCATTTAAAGAATATACTGAAAAAAATTGCAACTCAAGTTTAAACATGAATGGAAATAAATGAAATGTGGAAATAAGTGCTGACTTACAGGAATGTGTGTAATCAGTACTGCTAAACTGTGTTAAATATGGTGAAATATTTAAACATAAATTAGGGAATACTTCACGTATAATGAAAGACTAAATAGTTTTCAAATGAAAACATTTAACTATGCTTACCATACATGGAAATCAATTAACATGCATATTCCAAATATTTTTTCATAATTTGTTAAAATATTTATCTTTGTTTTACATTGTTGTTAAAATGTGCAAAAATTTTATGATGTCGCTTTCTGAATGTTGAAGACTCCAAATGTAACGTATTTCATTTCACGAGGGGAAAAATAAACTCTCCATTTTCCATTATTGTTGGTTTGCGAGACAGAAAATTGTCTTTAATTTTTGATTTCTAGGACAGGTTTTAAACTTAGCTGTTAGTTCAATTTGTAAAATCAAAGTTGAAACTGTTGATAACCTATATATTTCATAAAATTCATATATTTATTATTGCTTATGACTAGCTTGTGAGTGGCAGTAGTGAACATGCAGCAAAATATATTAGCTGCTGCTATTTCTAGGTTTAAAATGTCTTTGGTTAATTTCTCCGAAACACCCCTCCTCCACTGTCTGCATTCTACACTGACGGAAATACTTTAAACTAATACTGAAACACCTATGTTAACCAGAAAGATACTTACTTAAAAACCCCACAGATTTTCTTTACAAAGGATTTATGAATTGTGGCTCACGGTGTTTTTTTATTTTTATTTTTAAACTATTTTGTGCAGGTGGCCCAGACAGATAGTCTCTTCTATGGGACTATGTCGGTTTGGAAGTAGAATTGATTGCTGCTGGGGCTGGGCTCGGCAGTCATGGGGCCAATGCCAACGTGAGTATCATCACTGCTGGGGCTTTTAGCCACATAGAAGGGGCTTGTAGACACCTCTTAATAGCTTTCACATACACTCTCAAAATTGCAGGCTTTATTTCATAAATGGGGCATATTTAAAGGGACATGGTCAGGTTAAAATCACATTTTTCAGAAGCAATTTGTGTTATTAACAGCACCATAGATAATTAATGCTGAATGAAATATTGAATCTAATTTACTTTTTTGCTGTTAATAATGTTGGTTGGTATATTTTTGCATTAAATTGTGTTTAGGCAATGAAAACGAACTAGTCAGTTTCTCTTATGGCCTAACAGAAGGCTGCAGTGTTTTGGATTGCAAAAACTGCAGGAAGGGGATATTTACATCCCAGGGAAAACAAAAAAGCAACCTGTTGCTGGAATTTGAACAGCAACATCTTGAAAATGTTTCTTATCAGTGTTAGGTTAAAACCTTCTTTTCTAACCCAATGAATGGGTTTAAATCAACCTGACTGTGTCCTTTTAAGGGATTACATATTAATAGAGATACCTCTAATTTTCTTGAATTGTTATAACTATTGATAGTATACACAAGAATTCCTTAAACCATTAAAAATATCATTACATTAGTAACCAGAAAAGGCCAAAGTTCTGATTTTTTTTTTTTTCATGATGAAAGAAGATCTCGGTCAGTTACATTTATAAGTTTTTGTCCTGAAAACACTTAAGTAGTGGGCAGCTTTCCATAAATATTTGCAGGATCAAACCTTTGGAAACATCTGCATTTTGATCCAGATGCAAAAGTGGTACCAATTCATCTCATTTTGCAAAAACAATATAGAAGCAGAAGAGAGACCACTGATTACTGCTCATTTTGCAGTGCTGTGAAAATAAAGCAGCAGGTGAAAATGGCATCAGTGATCCCAGTCTAGTCTCTACGCAAAGGTTCTGGTTAAATCTGGAAATAACAATATTAGTTACCGCTTATAAAGGGAGTAAGCTAATACAATACAGCATGGATAATAAAAAAGGAGATTAATCAAAACTAGATGTAAAACATGGTTGGACTACAACAAGCATAGAATTCTGTTGAGCACCTACAAGCCCACATCATCAGTCCCATGTATTTTAGAACTGCAGTTTGTAGGAAAAATAGTCTTTTCCCTGAGACAAACATTTGCAAAGGGAACGATGGCACCCAGAAGGAATAGAACCTATGGCTGTCTTTTATCACACAAATGTAGAAATGAACATCAGACTGAAAGCATGTGTTTCATACTGAAAATACTCTAAGCAGCAAGGCTTAAGTGAGTTTTTCTATATTTAAATAGTACTCCTTGTTTCCCTTTCCCCAGAAAGTTCTCACTTTCCTTGTGACGAGCTCAGCTCATCAGGGTGGTAACATTCAGTTTGAAACCAATGTGAGTTTCATATTTGACCTTCAACTTCCCACCTCTATCAATTTTGCTTTTATGTGTATATCCTGTATTATAGTTTCAGGAAGTGAATGGCTTATGGTGATAATGGCACAAAATATATAACAGAAAGTGAATTTTTGTTGCCTTGTAGCAAAAATAATTGAGTTTCATTTTTTTCAGCTTTGTGTACAGTTGGCATAAACATGTCCCTATAGTAAAATGTGATGCTGTCTGTAAAGTTACAGTATTGCCATCATAGAGCAATTACAAGTTATTAAGTGGGATGGTGGAAGAGTCCTTCATTCTGTCTCTCTTGGCAGCATGGACGACATCACATAAACTTTAAGGATTTCTCCCCATTTTCCCTGTGGTCTGTATTCCTTAAGGCTACGTCTACACTGCAGGCTTTTTGCGCAAGAACACTTGTTCTTGCGCAAAAACTTGCAGGTTGTCTACACTGCATGCGCATTCTTGTGCAAGTAAATTTACAGTAAAGCATCAGAAAACAGGACTTCTTGCACAGGAGTTATTCCTCTAGCACAAGTGCTCTTACACAAGAAGGCAGTGTGGACATGCAACGGGTTTCTTGCGCAAGAAATCCCTATAGCTAAAATAGCCATCAGAGCTTTCTTGCGCAAGAGAGCATCCACACTGCCATGGGCACTTTTGTGCAAAAGCACATCTCTTGCGCACATGGCAGTATGGAGCTTTTGCACAAGAACTCTTGAGCAAAACAGGTCTTGCAAGAGAAGCCTGCAGTGTAGACGTAGCCTCCATGTGTAGGTTCTATTTTATAATTATGGTAGTGTTCTGCATATGGCCGAAAGATACACTGAAAATTTTTCTAACTGGAAATAAGAGTATTCCCTCTCTTTAAATCATACTTTCATAGTACAGTAAAACTCCATTAGTCCGGCATCCAATGCTCCAGAACTCCTGATGGTCCGGCACCATCAGGAACCCGGAAGTGCTGGGGCAGCCGGACAGGCTTCCCCCATTCAGCTGCTGCTGAAACTGACCAGCAGCTGAATCGGGGAAGCCGGGAGCAGAGCAGCTGGGGTGCTGCCGGGTTGGTCCCACAGCGCCGAGGGGCGGCGCTACGGAACCAACCCGGCAGCACTCCAGCTGCTCTGCCCCAGGGGTCCCCGATTCAGCCGCTGCTGAAACTGACCAGCAGCTGAATCGGGGAAGCCGGGAGCAGAGCAGCTGGGGTGCTGCCGGGTTGGTCCCACAGCGCCGAGGGGCGGCGCTACGGAACCAACCCGGCAGCACTCCAGCTGCTCTGCCCCAGGGGTCCCCGATTCAGCCGCTGCTGAAACTGACCAGCAGCTGAATCGGGGAAGCCGGGAGCAGAGCAGCTGGGGTGCTGCCGGGTTGGTCCCACAGCGCCGAGGGGCGGCGCTACGGAACCAACCCGGCAGCACTCCAGCTGCTCTGCCCCAGGGGTCCCCGATTCAGCCGCTGCTGAAACTGACCAGCAGCTGAATCGGGGAAGCCGGGAGCAGAGCAGCTGGGGTGCTGCCGGGTTGGTCCCACAGCGCCGAGGGGCGGCGCTACGGAACCAACCCGGCAGCACTCCAGCTGCTCTGCCCCAGGGGTCCCCGATTCAGCCGCTGCTGAAACTGACCAGCAGTGGCTGAATCAGGGACGCCTGGGGCAGAGCTGGACTATCGTAAGGGGGGGCTATGAGGGATATGGGGTGGCATCCCCTCCCACCCCACTCCAGACCTCTCATAGCCCCCCCTTCTGATAGTCCGGCATACCTGATAATCCGGCACCTCCTGGGTCCTAAAGGCGCCGGATTATCGGAAGTTTACTGTATGTCTTATTTAGTCAGAGCAGCTGTTTAAGTTGGCCCATAAATTGTCCTTGAAAAATCTATATTTTGATTTTTCAAACTTGAACTGCTTAGATTTGATTCAGGCGCAGAGTCAAGTTGGAAATTATTCTAACATCCTTTTTATAAAAAAAAGTCCCTAGTTATTAGGATGGGCCTCCCTTTGTTTATTTCTTAACTGACATGTCCAAGTCACTTTGTGGGCATGCTTTCAACTCTACATATGAAATTTCCAGAGTAGCAAATTAGTACCTATTCTTCATATCTTATTTCAGACTCCATTTTTGTATGCCTGAATGGAATATTTGGAATTTGTTCTTGGTATTACTCCTTGCAACAGGGATAATGGGAAAGTATGCTGAGGCTACAAAATTATTATTACTTATTTAACTGCAAAGAGGCATCTAATCCTACTTTTAGAATTCAGTCATGGAATCAAAATAAGTTAGATGCCTCCTTCTAGGGATAAAAGCAACTAGTTGACTATCCAATAAGCAGCCTGGTCCCTCCCCCCAACACTTGCTGCCTCTATCAGAGAGAGGCAGCAAGGAGTGAGGAGCAGGAGCTGGTGCTGGGGGGAACTAGTAAAGCCAGTTCCACCCAGCACTGTCTCTGTGGGGGTCAAGGGAGGCAGAGGCACAGTGAGAAGTGGTGCAAGCAGGGACTGCTTCAGCCCTATAGGGCTCTTGTACATTTCAAAAGCAGAAGTGCCACAGAGAGCATGGGGTGAGCAGGGACTCAAGCAGTCACCACTCACTCCGTGCTCTCTGCAGCGTCACCCCCCCTTACTGCCTCCATGAGGCACAGCAAGGGGGGGGACAGGAGTCGGTGCTGGGAGGAGCTGGCTTAAAAGCGGGTTCCCCACATCACTGTCTCCGGGGTGCTACCTGCTTCCCTGCTGCCTCTCAGAGGCAGCGGGGGAGATAGGGGACACTGCTGTGAAGCAACCCCTGTTCGCAGCAGCCAGGGCTGGCCACAGACAGGGGCTGCTGCCTGAGCAACCCCGGCCACTATGAACTGGAGTTGCTCCAACACAAGCCCCTGTTTGTGGTGGACAGGGCTGGCTGCTGTAAATAGGGGCTGCTGGACTCAGTGCGAGTTGGGACTGAGCAGTCCCGGCTTGCGCTGATCGCTGTGCCTCTGCATTTTAAATCATTTTAATACATTTACATGCATCTTTCTACGTTTAAAATGCAGAGCCACAGCGTAGGTGGCTCTGGAGCTGGCACGAGCCGGGACTGCTCAGTCATCTCAAGTCAGCTCCTCTGGAGCTACCCTTGCTGTGGCTCTGCAGAGGCGCTTATTGACTAATCCTATAGTCACCTATACAATTAGCCAAATAATCACATTTAAACAGCCTTACCTCCTACATGTGTATTTCATTAGCAACGGGGAAAATAGCTATATTGTTACTATCAATTTTTTTACTTAAACATAAAGTCGCTATATTATTCCAGTCTAAATTTTTTATATTAGAATTTTATTTTAGATTACGGAAAATATCAAAACAAGAAAGTCCAAAAGCTAAGTGTTCATGAGATAATACATTGTCTTTGTAAAATGCTGTATCAATTATGCCTTACAAAATGACAGCAACTCTGCAGACCAACCGGATTTGCAATTTAGCTGCCAGCACCAGAAAGATTCACTTTCATTTAGTTTAACCTTCCATCCCTGAGCAAGCAAGAATTTTCAGAAGGCCTCAGCATCCACATTCATAGCCAGATTTCCTCCCTTCTCCCCCACAAGAGTTCGGCTCCCATG